TCTTAATCCATTTTATTGGCTTTATTCAGTTGTACTGGGCTTAATGAGCTTTATTGGGCTTTATTGGGTTCCAATCCATTTTATCGGTTCTTAATGAGTTTTATTCGTTTTTAATGGGCCTTATTAGGCTTATTCAATATTAATTAATTAATAATTAATTATATTTATTAAAAAATAAATATATTATAAATAAGAAATATTTATTAACTAATAATTAATAATTGATCAGTATCGATTAGAATATGTCTTGGAAACATAAAATTAACTTTAGGATAATCTTAAATGTTTAGTACCGGTTTTCACATAAACCGTTTGTTTTTATCTTAGAGAATCGTAACTGGTTCTATACTAACATCGAGAATGACCTCCCCGTAAATGGAAATATTTACTGAAAATAAATAGTGTACTGTTACAAAAATAGAGTAGTTTCGGAAACGATGAAAACACCATCAACTGATGTACATAAGTTGATACTCCATCTTTTAGAAAACCATCAACTGATGATCACTTGTCAGAGGTAACATACCCCGTTAGCAGAAAGACGCGTCAACTGATAACCCATTAGTGGTTAGTTAATAAGTCGATACTCATTAGCTGCTAAACCCTTTAGTTCCAACATTTATTAGTGGTTTCAAACCACTAATAAACACCCACTACCACCACTCCCATTCCCACTCCCAGTGATGTTGCTCCTACGACCTCGCGAGGAGGTGCGACCGCCTAAACCCCTGCCATATGTCGCCATCTAGCAATTTCGGGTTTTAGCTAGTAAACCTAATTATCGACAACCTCAACTGGTCCCACATGAAACTTACCTCCAAGGATATCAATTTGAGGACGTATTTTTTGCTCGTGCTGAGGTTACCCCTGCATCGAGAACGATTGAACCCATGACTTGTCTTGTATTTGAGCAAAATAATCACACACATTTACCAACTGAGCTACATATTAGAGACACACAATCAGTATTATTTATTCAATGGATACAAATATCGCACTAAATATGTGAACCTATTATAATTAAAACTATTTTTAAAAAAATAATATAAACATATTAATTAATTAAGTAATAATGGAAGAATATTTATATGAAGAATCAAATTAC